TCCATCACATTCCTGACTCATGCCTTGTGGATGATTGACAGGCTTTGGACAGTCAGGAGGTGAGTTATTTGCTGCAACATTCCAAGTCTCTGACTTGCCCTTGTAGCCACAGTACTTATAAGGCTAGTCCAGTTCAACTTCTGGTCAATGGCAACATCAGGATGTTGACAGTGGGGATTTTGTCATGGTAACCGTTGAATTTCAAGGGGCAAAGATTACATTTGCTCTGCTGGAGACGGTCAATATGGGCTCAAATGTTACTTGCTACTTGTTAGCTAAAACCTGTACTTTCTCCGGGTTTTGCTACATTTGGGTATGGACTGCTCTGGCATCTGCAATGGAGGGAAAGTCATTGACGAAGCAGCTGAAGATGTTTGAGCCTAGAAGACTACCCTAAGGAACTCAAAGGGCTCTTGTGGTGCGGTGGTAGTATACATACCTGAGCTACAAGACCCAGGTTCAAGTTCCATCTGCTCCAAAGTTGTGTAACAACATTTCAGAACAGGTTGATTTGAAAATATTTACCCTGAGAAACTCAACCTTCCTTTCTGTCAGGTATGACACCAATCAGTGGACAGCTGCTCCACAATTCCCATAACTCCAGTTTTCCTAGTGGTCCTTGATGCCACACATTGTCAAATAGAGTCGTACAGCATGGAAACAGACCCTTTGGTCAGGTCAGTCCCTGCCAACAATGTCCCCAAACTTAATTAGTCCCACCTGCCTGCACATGGCCCATATACCTTTAAAGATTTCTTATTCATGCACCTATCTAGGTGTCTTTTAAACGTTGTAACTGTACCTGTATCCACCGCTTTCTCTGGCAGTTCATTCCACACACTAACACTGTGGAAAAAGTTGCCTCTCATATTCTTTTTAAATCTTTCTCCCCTCACCTTAAAAATATACCCCCTTGTTTTCAACTGCCCAACCCTGGGGAAAAGATCCTTGTTATTCACCATATCTATGGCCCTCATGATTTTATACACCTCAATAAAGGTTTCCCTCAATCTCCTATGCTCCTGTGGCAAAAGGTCCCAGCCTTTCCACTCTATTTTTATATCTAAAACCATCCATTCCCAGCAACATCGTGGAAACACTTTTCTGAACCCTCTCCGGTTTGATATCCTTCCTATAACAGAGGACTAGAACCGTATGCAGTACTCCAGAAGAGGCCTCACCAACATCCTGTACAACCTCAACATGACTTGCCTACTCCTGTACTCAAAGGTCTGAGCAATAAAGGCAAGCATGCTAAACACCTTCTTAACCACCCAGTCTACCTGTGACACAAATTTCAAAGAATTTATGTGGCCCTGATGTCAACTATTGTCACTCTCACCTCAACTCTGGAATTCACCTCAATCAATGTTTGAACTAAGGCTGTAATAAGGTCAGGAGCCAATTATGGAATCCAAACTCAGCATCAGTGAGCAGGCTATTACAAAGAAAGTGCTACTTAATAGTACTGTTGCTGACAACTTCCATGACCTGACTGATGATCAAGAGTAAACTGATGGGGTAGTAACTGGTCAGTTTCAATTTGTCATACTATGTGCATGCAGGAAATGCCTGGGCAATTTGTCACACTGTCTGGTAGATGTCAGCGTTGTGAAAGTACTGGGACAACTTGCTTGGAAGCAAAGCAAGTTCTGAAGCACAAGTTTTCCATAATATGGCTAGAATGTTGTCAGGGCCCAAAGTCTTTCCAGTATCCAGTGACGCCAGCCATTTCTTGATATAACATGGAGTGAAATAACTTTTCTCAAAACTGGCATGAATGAAGCTGGGGGCCTCTGGAGAAAGGCAAAATGGATCTTCCATTCAGCACTTCTGGCTGCAGATTGTTGCAAATTTTTCAGTCGTCTTTTTTTCAGTGATGTGTTGGGCTCCACTATTATTGAGGTTGGGGATATTTTGCAGAGCCTTGTCTACCAGTGAGTTGTTTAATTATCCACCACCATGCACAGTTCGATATGGCAAGACTGCAGAGCTTAGAACAAACAGTTGGTTGTTGAATCGCTTAGTTCTATTACTAGCTGCTTATGCTGTTTGGCATGCTAGTAGTACAGTTTTGTGGTTGACACCTCATTTCTTTTAGGTATGTCTGTGCTACACTATGCTACAATGGACAGTTAAGTTCCCCACCCAGAGTACATTATTTGCCCTTACCATCCTCAGTAATTCTTCCAATTGCCATGAGACCTCATGAGGTTCAGAGTCAATGTTTGGAACGCCTAGGGCAAATTCCCCCTTGACTGTACACCATTTTGTTGCATCCTCTGCCAATGGGATCAGATATTCCAGGGATGGTAAAGATGTTGTCTGGGACATTGTAAGATACAATTCCACAAGTCTGACTATGTCAGGCTGTTGCTTGACTAAACTGTGGCACGGTGGCTCAGTGGTTAGCAATGCTGTCACACAGCACCTCGGATGACTGTCTGTGTAGAGTTTGCACATTCTCCCTGCATCTTCATGAGTTTGTTCCGGTATCCTCCCACAGTCCAAAGATGTGCAGGTTAGGCGGATTGCCTATGCTAAATTGCCCATAATGTCCAGGGATGTGTAGATTAGGTGAATTAGCCACGGGAAGTGCAGGGTTACAGGGACAGGGTAGGGGAGCGAGTCTGGGTGGGATGCTCTTCGGAGGGTTGGTGTGGACTTGTTGGACCGAATGACTCATTTCCATACTGTACCGATTCTATGAAATTCTGGAATTTGCCCTCAGATGCTTTTGCAAGGTAAACAGGGATGCCTTTGCCATGGTCATTTCCAGTACCTTAAAACAATGCCAGTTGGTCCATCTGGTATCCTTTTTCTTTTAAAAAGGCATTTTAGTAGTTGATATAACAGAATGGTTGGCCGAGCAATTTCGGGGGCAGTTGAAAGTCAACCACTTTACTAAAGGTCTGGAGTCACAAGTAAGCCAGACAATTTCCTTCCCTAAAAAGGACATTGGTGAACAAGACAAATTTTTATGACAATCTAAATGATTGCCAAAATCATCATAAACATCTGAATTAAAAAAATGTTTTAATTTATTCATTTCAAATTCCATCATCTGCCATTCAAACCCATGCCGCCAGAATATTATCTAGGTCTCTGGATTACAAATGTAGCAACAATAAAACTAGGTCTTGGCCTCCCCTAGCACCTTACTCGGAGTTAAAGCAATTTATCTGCAACATAGATTTTAGTGTATACAGAAGGAATGACCTCCATTTCACTCATGCAGTTCTTTTCTGTACATTTTTTCACCCAAAATTGTTCCATATAGTTTATCCACTCTGTCCACTTTACCAACAGCAGACTCTTCTGCCTTATAATCCCTAAACTCTGGAGTTTACCTCTCATCACTTCTGTCTGCTGCATCTTTACACATCCTCAATATTCCTACATTAACAAAGACTTCAACAGCTTCTTTGGCCACATTCCCTATTGCCCTTCCCTTCCAAATTGGATCTAATCCAAAACATTATAAAGTCAGCACAAGTTTTTGTCCCTGCTGCAATTAACTGGTGTTTATTATTGAAATTTATTTTAAAATGTTTTGTACACATAGCCCTTTATGTCCAAAGTCTTGCATATGGTATCTTTCCTGAGAAATATTCAAAAACAAGTCTTGCATGCTACAAATATAGTAAATGAGAAATGCAAGTATTTGATCTTTAGACCGGATAGCTTAATAGAAGTTTCTCATGTTTAATGCAGAGTAAACCTTAGCAACATGGTGCAAACGTACATACATAAGGCAGTCAGTTGCTTGAAGTCTGAGAATACAGAATCGACTAAAACTTAACTCATGGCTGAAATTTTCTCATAAATGATCTTGGCTATTCAAACAATACATTAATGAGCCAAAGAAATACATGCCAGTTTAGTAGGAAAATCAATGTACAATTATTTTGTGTATGCAGCTACCTCAAATAAATGTGTTACTGGAAATCCCTAAATCTTGGGCCATTTGGAGGGTGCTTCAGCTATTACTATTCAGTTCCCCACAAATTTTTTTTTTTTTTTTTAAATTCATTAGCCTACTTCAATGCTGCAGGCAGCTACGGTGGCCCCTGAACAGGTCACCTATATGCGTCGACAGTCAGTTGGACTGGTGGTGGGAAAGAAGAAGTGTTTACAGGAAAAATTTCATACAACTCATTATTCCTGTACCATCAGACACAGTTAACAGCACCATTTTCACCAAGCTAAGAAAGCAAGGGGATCCCACCCCTCTAATATGAAGTGATGGCAAAAACTGCTAATTTAATGCAATCTCCTCTAAAGCTCAGTCCTCATAAAATTCCCACGCTTATCAATCTGGTATCACACACGATAAAGATTGCAGCTTCATGGGGTGGGGGAAGAGGGGGGAAGAGGGGGGAAGATAAGACAGCCCAGTTTACATGCAAAATAAGGGCCATTCATCTGTGAATATTAGTGTTTCATTCTGAATGAATGAAAAAATGGCCACACCTGGATAATTACAGCATCAGGCCAATTAATCTCAAATTTTATTTCCTCCCGGTGGGCGCACAAGGATTGCAGAGCGAATCGTTGCTTGCTCGGATGTACGTCGGCATTTATCAACCGCCTACCCCACCCGATAGCCGCAGCTCAATGCAGAGGAAAGGTTGCCCTCTCTCCTCCATTTTCTACCGGTTACTCCTGTCTGATAGAGATGGTGATAGAGGAGGAGGAGACGCTTCAGAGCAAGAGGGTGCTCATTAACCAGCTTTCCAATATCTTCGGGCAAGGGGAAATGAATATGTCAGGGGCTGAAGGAGGAGTAAGACTCCGAAGGCTTGTGTTTTCAAATAAACCTGTTGGATTTCTGACAGTGACTGGGAAGCTCACAGTATTTCGCACCTGTTTTTTTTGTGGGTGTGTGTGTGTTCCAATTTCCAGATAATTAAATTGAATGATCGCGAATTTGGGGGGTAAAAATCCCCAAGCACCATCCCTCCCTCCCTCTTTTTTTTTTTACATTTTGTTTTCCTCACCAGGACATCATTGCAGATCTCCCTGAGCTCAACCTCCACCTTCTCCCGGTACTCCTTCACCATATGCAGCTTCTTCTCGCTGCCGCCGCCCTCGCCGGTTTTCTGCTCGATGCTGGAGATGACCCTCCAGGCCGAGCGGCGGGCCCCCACCACGTTCTTGTAGGCGACCGACAGCAGGTTCCGCTCCTCGTTTGACAGCTCTTCGCCCCACTCGGTGACCGCCTTCATCGCGGCCGCCATGTCCTCATAGCGTTCCGCTTGCTCCGAAAGCTTAGCTTTCTGCACCAGCTCGTTCTTATCCATGGCCAGAACTGCTTTATGTATGTACTGTCGTGTGATAAACTCCCACCCCCCTCCCCCCTCCGGTGTGTAATTTTCTCCCGGGGCGGACGGTTGGAGCTGCTGTCTCTCCCTCACAGTCGGCTCCTCACAAACCAAATGGCGGTTGAAGGCTCTCTCCCACCGAGACCAGCTCTGCACATGCGCGGCCCACACCCCACACCACCGGCCATGACGTCATTCAGTACCCCCCCAAACCAAAGATGCTGCAGGAAAGACCAGAGACAGACCA